GGCAGTTACTCTTTTACTGTTACCTTTATGAGTCAATCCTGTGGTCTGTACATCATGTTTAAGCTGAATCAGATTTGGGACTCTGTATTAGGCTTTTCAAGCAGCTGATGGGGGGAGGGGGGAGCCGCACGAGGCAGCCGCATTTCGACCTGTCAGTGCTCTATAGCGTTGTGTTCAGTGCTGTGTTTTATTTTTTGTCCATTTACCTGTTTTACATTAAGATAATTTTACTTGTTTATGAAACGAATAAAACTTTGGCTTGTAGGAGTTCCCCTTGGCTTTTAAAAGCTGTTGCCCTGCTGGGTGAGCAAAACTGGGGGTTTTCTCCCAAAGGAGGAGCTTGGTGCAGCCGCTGCAGGCAGGTGGGTGCCGCGGCTCCCTCATCCCGGCACCTTTAACCCTCTTGGAGGCCAGGGCCCAGTCCCCCAGGTGCGAGGCTGAGCAAGGAGCACCAGGCCCTGCATGAGGTGGCCTGGGACACCCACAGACCCCTGCCAACCCCGGCCGGGCACAGCGAGCCCAGCACCCAGGCGGGCAGCAAGAAAGAGGCCCCCAGTGCCACTGCAGTGGAGGAGTCAACCCTGCAGAGGAAGGAAAGAAGAACAAAAAAACACGTTCTTCTGAACACCTTTTAGCCCAGCACTAGTGCTTCTGCCCATGAGCGCTGGGGTACACCAGGGGCCAGGCTCATACCCCTACCTTCCTAGCATTAAATAAGGCCTCGGCCTTCACTTTGTCGTACAGAAAAAAACAAACAAAACCCCTCCCCATTACCAGAGCAGAGCATCGGCTGCAGACAGATGCACTCACAAATCCTGCTCCTATGGTGGCAGCAGAGAAGCAAAACGCAGCCCAGGAGCAACACAAGAGCTGGGTTACACTTACCTGTAAGCCCGAGGCCCAGGTGTTCCATCCCATCCCCTTGCAACACACAGTGCAGCCAGTTCTGCTGCAGAAGCCCCTGCGCTGGCAGCTCCCTCCTCGGCCACGGGCCTGTCCCCGTGGTCGCGAGGCCAAGCGAACAGCACCACGCTGTGGTCGCGGTGCCGGCGCTCACGGCAATGCATGGGAAAGGGATGGTACTTGCATTGCCTTTTTGGGAGGCAGGAGAGCAGCCGACTTGGAGCGGACTTCCCACAGCGGGGAGCAGGGCTTGTCCCTCTGATGGGGCTGGGAAAGGCACCAAGGGGCCGGCCTGCAGAGCTGGAGGGCCAGGCAGCGCCAGCCCAGCTTCCTCGCAAGGTGCCCCGCAGGCACTGCTGGTGTGCAGATGCCTGCCAGGATGACCCCTCCAACCCACCTTCACTTTAAGACACTCTGAGATGACAACAGCCACAACCGCCATTGCCAAGGATGAGCGTGGTTGGATTGGGAGTCACATGTTGCGCTCCCAGAGCATCGCACTGGGGACAAAGCAGGCGCAAGCGATGGCTGTGGTCACCATCACATCCTCCCAACATCGGCTCCTTCTCCAGCAAGTCTGAGGTAAAAGCCAACGTGTGAGCTGGGAGCTGTGGTGAGGAGCACGCAGAAGCACTGGCACACGCGGCTCTCCACGAGCAGCCATGCAGGCCGCACCAGGCGAGCAGCTAGCGCTGCCGCACAGGACGGCACCAGCTTCGCGTGGCCGCTCGCCCGGAGCAGTGCGGACACACACCAGGCACACACGGCTTCACAATCGTGCTTGAAACCAGTCAAGCAGTTTCTTTTTATTTATTAAAAAACAAAACCCCCCACCAAATAAAAATCAACCCTCTAATAGTGAAAGTATAGATACGGCATTTACACAGCTACATCTATCGTCCGCTGACACCCCCACCCGCCCACAGTAATGTAGACTTATACGCGCTTACATAATATAGAGCGACACAGACAGACAAACAGGCTTCTAGAGCTGGCGAGAAGGAGTGCGGTGCAGCGCGCAGCCCCCAGCCTGCCCGGGATGCACCGGGCCAAGGCAGCCCCGGACACGTGCAGGGCCACAGGACGCACAGAAGGGCTTTGCTGGTGGTGGGCAAGTGCTCTGGCGGGTGCGGGAGGGTGGCTTTTTGGTGAGCAGGGCAACACGGGTAAGAAACACGTGGCCCCCCCCCTCCCTCCGGGGCCTTGCAGAGCTCGAAGTGCAAGGCAAACCTCAGCGAGCTGAGCCTCCCGGGCCACCCGCCTCCTCCTCATGAGGTAGTCAGTGAACTTAGCCTCATTTTACATGCAAGGTATGGCAAGGAGGTACTGCAAGCCCCCGCTGCTCAGTGTCAGAGGGCCTATGTAGCTATCAAGCAAAAGGGAGAAGTGTTCGATAGCCGAGGGAAACAACTCTATTAGCACAATGGTTCTCAGCATCTTCCTTACTGGGTTCTACTGGTCCAGACCAAGGCCGGTTCCCACCTCAAAGACCGTGAGGAGCACCACTCCCACCCCCGCAAACCGAGGAGCAGCAGGACGAAGGCATCTGGTGCCCGTGATCCTGCCAAGGATGACCCCACACATACAGTACGTGGTGGAAACTGACCCTAAGTTCTTAGAAGCTCTTGAGGAACACGGGCCCAAACCTGTCACACACTCAGTGAGCCAAATAATACAGTACTCGTGTCAGCAATGCGAAGCACTATCAGCTCTAGTGTTCAGACTGGGAGGGGAAGAGAAACAGCCCTCATTTAGTGTGGAGAAACAGAAAAAACATGGCCCCACATGAGGAAAATTGGGACCAGTGCGGTCTATGGGATGGAGAAATGAGATAGACACTTCTGAAAGCAAAACGGCTGTTCAGTAAAGAGAGAGCAAGAACAGAGTGCACAGCCTCTTCATGCTGCTGCTTGGAATGACCAACAGCAACTGGTGTGGATAAGAGGTGAGGGACACGGCTCCTTCCGGCCCTTTCCTCAGCAAAACTGGGAGCTGAATTTCACCGCTGGCCAACACTGTCTTAACTCATCCTAAGGGCTGCCTTCCTCTACACAGCAGAAGAGTTTTATTGGAGCAAGAGATGGACAGACAAGGCAGGTGTGTTCTCTGAACCCACCATGCAACTCTCTCCTGGGAGCACATTGCCACACAGGTAACTGCTACCGGATCTTGTTGCAGATGTATCGCTTATTGCCAGATCAGGTTGGTCAGCCCTAACCATGCGATCAGAGAAGACTGCGAGTGGGAAGAAGAAGAAGCAGCCAGACATGGGCACATGAATTCCCATGGCTAAAATTCAAGCTTGGGGCATCCAGATACTAGCATTCACCAGGCTGGCTTCTTCATTTGATCAAAACAAGGGCTGGAACAAACTGCTCCCATCACCTTCTCAAAATGACCCCAGCCTGAGGCACTACCATTTCATTCTGTACACAGACAGAGCTATCTTTAACCACACGTGTTTCCACAAGAAAATATGGGATGGAAGCAAACGTTCAGGGGAGTGGACAAAAACCCTACAGCGCACAGTATCTTCAATTCCGCCAGCCTCAAATTAGAGGGAAAAACTGTAATTGTTTTCAGCAGCAAAACAATGTGGCTGCAGAGTTGCATCTGCAGCACTTATGGCTGCAATTAGAACAGACAGGGCAGATGGGCTTGGTCAACAGCAAACCCACAGGAGTGCTGGGTTTAAAGCTCTTCCGGATAGAGAAATGTAGCCCTGAATCTGCAAGTAGCCAAGTACAGACGGGAAGAAAGGGGCATGAGGGAGTGACAGCTGGGCAGACCACGCTCATCTTCCTGCTGGGATATGCGCCGCAAGCCTGGATAAATGTTGCAAGATTAGGCTTGGCAGGTAGGAGTTGCATGGAAATAACCCATGTGTGGTTTGACCTGAAGCCCCCGAGTGGATAGGAAGCAACAAAAGCATTTAGAGATGGAAGGTGGACAGAAGGGGAGACAAACAAGGCATGTCAGAGAGTTTAACAAACCAGTGTGGTTAGGAATAGAGACTCAACTAGAAGTTTGCATTCTTCCATGCTCTCACCTTCCCTTCCACACAATGACGAAGAGTAAAATAAGCATTAGAAAAAAAGAATTTAATCAGAGAGACAGGGAACACCTGAGCACCAGATACACCTCACAACTGGCTGTCATGAGGAGCTGAACTCCCGCATCCTGGATTGCACTTCATAATATCAGCACCTACTAAAGGACCCACCTCCGGCTGCTGCCTGCCAGCCCTGGGAAGCGCAGTGGGTCACGGGTCACGTCCCCGCTTAGTCCAACAGGCAGTCTGTGTTGGGAGGAAAGCAAAGCATCGTCTTTCCAGGGCTCATGGGGTCATTCTGGTCCTCTGTGTGTTGCACAGTGTTCTTCAGCTACTGAAGCAAAACACCTCTTGGTTGGTTGTAACACTGCAAAGCACAAGCCTGCAGAGAGCCCTGGCTAAACACAGAGAGGACCTGTGATATTTGTGAGTATGTGTGTGTATATACTTTTTTCATAAGAGGAGGATGTTTAAATTAACACTTGTCTAGGGCAGAGAAGGACCTAAGGACTTTCTTATGGCATGCACAGTGGGGAAGCAAGGCACGGACCTTAACTAGAGCACAACTCCTGACCTGCAACGTGCCCACCTGCCTGCATGTGCACACGGAGCTACAGGGACCTGGCTCTGAACAGTCATTTCCCTTGTTTCCCTGTTTGCTATTACTCCGTTACACATCCGAATGAAGCAACATGACATACAGCATCTGACCATGACCCTGAGTCTCAGGGAAGAGCAAATCATTTGGTGAGTCCAGATTTCCTTCACTGGTACCAGGTCAAACTTGAGTTCTCAACCTGGCTCCTGCATTTCCTTTGAATTCCCTAAATGGGTGGCAAAAAATGCCTATCAAGGTATCACTGTCCTCGCTAGCAGGAAGAACCAGGTTGGCCACTGTACGCCATGAAGCTTGTTCAGAGCAGCACAGCATGGCTGGGCTATTGTACCTGGCCAAAGGAGAGAAGTATTTCCAGGGATGCATGGAGGAGAGAGCACATGGCTGGGTCATGGAGGCCCAGCTGCACGGGCCGAGCCTGCATCTTGCACGCTACCTCAGAAGGGGACAAACTGGAATGTATGGTATCTTTTTTCTTTCTTTTCATTTTTTTTTAAAGCCAGCCTTATGGCAAACTATAAATTAATAAGCTAATTAAATACTCAGGTGAGAGAACAAGGAACCTCCAACTATGTAAACAGAGGATAGGCTATGGCTTCTTTCTTAGATAATTGGAAGGGATCCAGCCCTCCCAACAGGGCCCCCCAGTCAAGACCTTGCAAAACCACCAGCCACTGCTGTTCTTCTCACGAACTTCAAATAAAGTCCCTTCTTTAAAGCTGTTGGTCTCCTCATCGCCTTCGAAATCTGCCACTGCTACATAGAGGGCTTCCTTGGAGATGTCCAGATTGGAGAAGGGGGCAGAGGTCCTCTCCTTGGCTTCCCCTCTCTCTACCGGCTTCGATACTACCTTTGGGACTAAGCTGCTTTTCACTTTGGCTTCATCCTGGCTTGAAGCAGACAGGAACGGTTTGGCTTTCGGTGGAACCAGCATGGGCCGGCCTGGCACGGCAGAAGATCTGATCTCAGGCGCTTCCCGCACTGGGGTCTTCAGCTCTGGCGTGGGGCCGGACGCAGGACACGCTGTTTTCTTTGGAGGCGGTGGTCTACGAGGCGGCACAACGGGCCGCTGAGGCGGGGGTTCTCTAGGAGTTGGGTGGTCACCCTTTGGCTCAGGGTGAGCTACCTTTGCTGGGCCCAGAGGACATTTGGGCAGGGCTTCCTTTGCAATGTGGCTGTCCAGTTTAGGCAGGGGCTTACTCTCCACACTCGGTCTCTCTTGAAACCTTCCAGAAGTCTCTGAGGGAACCGTGGTATTACTGAAAGAGTTTTCACTGGCAGCTGTGTCCTGCTCAGGGAGTTTCTCTTGGCACTTTGCAGGTCTGAGCTTGCTTCGCAGGCTACAAATGTCCAGTTTATCATCAGTTGGAGGTGGGTCAGCCCGAGGGGCTGCAGCAGGTTTTGGCCTAATCTGGGGTCTTGATTTCAAGAAAGGATTCTGGCTAAGTGGTTCAGGTTTGTCCTCCAAGGGCTCAACTTTTGGCTTGGTTGGCTTGACAATAGGTCGGAGATTTGGCTTCTTCACTTCCTTGGCTGACACCTTGTGTCCACATTCCAGTCCCATTTCGTTTTTCAGCTGGAACAGTTTGCCCTTCTCTGTTTTCAGCTCTGGCTTCTTACTGTCCTTCGGGACTGCTGACTGCTTTGGAGGGATCATGGGCAAAATCACGCCTGGAGGCTTGGGAGGAGGTCTCTGCCTTTCCATTAACTCACCTTCTGATTTAATGATCGATTCCTTCCTGGGTGGCAGGCTGGGCTTCTCCTCCACATCACGGTCCGAGATCTCCTCATATCCAGAGCTGAAGGCCATGTCCACACTCTCAGTGGCCTCCTTCCCCTTCCAATCTTTGGCCCATTTCATTCCACAGTCCATACCATTTGGGGGAGCCTCTGGCAAAGGTCTGCATGGTCCAGTGGTTTCGTCATTGGCACTGCTTTCCACTGCGGCATCGGAAATGCGGAGCTGGGCCATCTCGTTGGGTAACGGAGCCAGGAAGTTTGGCCGGGACGCGTTGCTTGTTTTCTTGTATTTATCGATAAATGTAGCAGGAGCCCAGCCTTCTTTCTCCTCAATCTGAATGTACCACCAGCCACTCAGGTTCTTCTCAATAACCTGCAGCAGGAAAGGAAGCCTTAGACACACAGGCATCAGCCCTCTCTGTACAAAAAGGGATGCTCAAGAGCACTGTGACACCAGGCCTTAGTGCTTTTGCCTCCCCTAGCCTGGTGTCCAAATTCCAGGTAGTCACAGGGTGAGCCAGCACAGACACTTTTCACACAGCTTTTACTACCAGATCAGCCTGCAAAGCGCATAGTTGGCACCCTGGAACTGCTAAAGATGTCTGCTAGGAGAGGGGACCCTGCTAGAGCTGGGACCATGGCAGAGCGGAGGCAGTTCACTGAAGGGATGACATGATCACATCAGACACAAATGCCTGGGAGAGCTTCGCTGAGCTGATATGATCTGGCCCTGAGAGACAGGACGGCTCAGCCAGGACACAGCGCTCTCAAGTACTTGCGGTGGCCACTGAGCGGCACTGTTGGAGCACTCAAACCACAGCATTGCTGCACGGATGTGCAAACCTCCAGCCTCTGTCTGCTCCAGAAATGGGACTTGGATCGGCTCTCCACTGAGAAGAGGTGACTGAGGCAGCACTAAAGGAAAAGTCTTAGAGCGAGGCAGCTTCCATGTGGAAAAGCATAACTAGATCTACAACTGGGATTCTGACAGAAAAACTGGGTATGCTAGTTAAGCAATTCCATTAGGGCTTTTAATTTTAGAACAGCCCTAAGAAAGAAAAAGCACCATCTCTATCTCCGTTTGTGATGTGGTTTTAATTTCCGTTAGCTCAGTCACACTTGGGAGACAGGAGGCTGCCAGGAGCACCGGAGACTCCAACGCCTCATGAGCTCATATGGATTTCTCTTCTGCTCTAGGTGAGCTCAGGGATGCTGGCAGCCCGCAGATGCAATAACATGCATCACCACACTCTGTTTCCACCCAGAATCTAGTGGTGGGTTCTTTCCTGCCCAAAACAGAATCCCAGGGCCAATGCGAGTCAAGAGCACTGCTCTCCAGGGAAAGATATGCGAGAAGGGAAAATGATAATCTCACCTCTACTTTCATTCCTGCCTGGAAGCTGATGCCATCTGGGATGGTGGTCTGGAAGTCAGCTATGGTGTAATATTCCTCTTCCACTTGAGGAGGGACAGGAGGCTTAGGCAGGTTCAAACCACGTGGCTATGACAATGAAAACCAAAACCCATCAAGGTGTTTCTACAGAAGGTGCAACACAACGTTCACACAGACTAACAGCCTGCAGAGAAGCAAGAGAGCACAGGCAGGCCTGGGTGGTCAGCTTAGCCTATGCTGTACTCCCACAAACACAAACTGCTAAACCATTTCCAGACTGAAAAGGAAATTGCCCAGGTTGTCAGAAATATCACTAACAGTAAAGTTACCCTCCCCTGGAGGAGGGAGCTGGCTTGCAACCTTCCATTGGCAAGTTAGCCTTACAGGACAAACTGACCAAAGGGTCACCTAAAGACCAACTGCAAACAGAGGCATCCTGTTATGGAAGGAAGGTCATGCTCTAACTTCAGGTACACATGAAGAGACCAAGCTGAGAATAACCAGAGACCAGAGCTCTTTTTCAATGTTTCTCTCCTTCTCCCTCTGCCACTGCTTTTTTCCTCTTTCTGCTAGCAAATGGAATATAAGACCAGTTACGCTGGTTCAGACTTGTCTATCTCAGCCTTCTGTCTCCCAACAGTGACTGTATGCAGATGCTTTGAAGATCAAGAATGGGGCAATAGCACCATAGCGCTGCTCTGTGGGCCTCCCTCTGGGAGGGCTTGGGATATACTTACTATGGTCAGATCTCTGCGAGGAGGGGGTCTCTGCCTCATCTTTGGTGACTCTGTGGAAACAAAATTTCAGATGCTGTTAAGATTCTGGTTGTGGATCCCGTGCATGTTCCCCAAAGGCACATGAAAGAGGAAAGAATGGCAGTCTTCACATCCATGCTCAAAGGCTGCCTCCTGCCCTTCCCGGAATGGCATGGACAAAACCTGGGAAGCCAGCCCAACAAGGGTCCTGTCTGCCTGGTACCTACAGGGACATGGGTCACTCAGACTTTGGGAGCATCTCTCTGGAACAGGGGACAATTTTGCAGCAACAGGTGCCACTGGGAAATGGAGATGAGGTAACCTAGTGATCTTGCTTTTTCACTGCAGACCTAACCCAAAAGCCTGGCTCTATCAGTCAGGTTAAAATGCCTCCGCTCCTGAGAGCAGAATGCCTGGAGTCCAAACTGCAGCCCGGGAGGTGGGCAGGATCTGGTGCATCCAGCAAGCCCTGCAGATCCTGGGGCAGCACTGCTCACTTGTCCTGCTTGCTAACATCAGTTTAGACTTTCCTGCAAAGCTCATAGTGCCTGCAAGCATTTTGGCTCCCTCACACCTGGCTATGTTGCCCAAAAGCCCACAAGAAAGCCAGCACTGAAATCCCAGCCACCTCAACTGGCCACTTACTGCGTCGAATGTCAGCATTAGGCAGGGGACGGCTGTCAAATCTCCCATCTCTCTGGCTGGCAAGCCCATCCTTCTCTCGGCTTGCCACATTCTGCTGCCGGGAGATGCCATCAAGATCCAAGGCACATGAATGAGTGGAGGAGCCTGACCCCAGCTTCTGTGAAAACATCTCTCCATTCCCCTTTTTGAGATAGGAGGCGGGGGCCCAGCCTTCTTGGCCCTGGTACCTGTGAAAGCAACAACAGGAACATCACTGTGTTGGACCCTCAGCACTGGCATCTGTCCACCCTTGCGTCAGGACTCAGAGGCCACTAGGCCTTTCCAGAAGGATGTTTCCACTGTGTTCCAGCGGAATTGGGGCTAAAGGATCTCCCTGGAGCCAGCGTTCAGGACAAGCACTGACCAAAAGCCAGTCACCATGTGATCTGGGTGAAATGAGCTTGCTTGGGCTCAGGCCCCATTTCAGTCATGCGGGCACCTGGAGAGCTCCAGCAATGACTCAGGCTCCCATGCAAGCCAGCCGCAGCCAGCGGGCCTGGTGCTGGGAAAGCCAGGAGATGAGCCCTGGCTTCCTTTTCATCTCAGCAATGGCAGAGGTTCAGGAATGAAACATACTGGCAGAGTAAACAGAGGGAAAAACTAGAGGATTGCTGCTACGCTTTACGTACCTGTTCTTTGGACAAAACACAAATATTCAGCCTGCAGAGCCTGTCAGCCTGGATCCCTTCCCTGCTCTGAACCTGCACTGAGTTCAGGGGAATAACCAACCCTGCGATGTGATTGAAAAACCACATCCATTAGTCTGCGTGCGGTGCTGGAGGGTCTCGTCCCAGCATCAGGAAAACTCTCCCCGCTGGCCAGGTTGGAGCCATTTCGCTCAGATGGCACCAGCTGCTGAGGTTGTAATTGCCTTTAGAGCTCTCATGGCAGCTCTCCTAGGTTTAAAAAGTCAATGGACATTTTTTCTGAGGCCTTGCTGCTGCCAAGACCTCAGGTTCAGCGTAAGGTTAAGAAAATCATGGCATGTCCTTCCACCCTGCTCAGCTCAGTCCATTTGCTAGACTGCAGACAAGAGAAAATGAGCTTCCAGTAAAAAACAAGCATCAGCTTGGGATGATCAAGCATCCTTGGCTCAGCACACAGCGCATGCAGCAGACCTGGCCCAGACAATGGCACTTCTCCACAGAAGCTTCCTATAGCACAGCCAGCAAGTTCAGCCAGGCTCGGGGACACTCACTCCGTTACCCAACAGCAACACATGATGTAACACTGACGCTCCCACTTGGCTTCCCTCTGCACTGCCAGGGCACATGATGCTGGGATACAGAGACACCTCCCCAGCACAGGAATGAGGGAGTGTTTCAAGACATTTTAACACATCTAAGCTGGGCTGAAGCCCTGAATTTGAGCTAGCTTTTGCTTGATGTGGAGAACTCAGTTGTGGTCTCTGCCCTTCCCTACATCCTAGACTTTGGTTTAAACCAAACCTCTTCCACACACACCGGGTCCCTGCTTTGTATAGCTCCAGCTGCAGTCCTAGGGAGAGCAAGCGGAAGGATGGTACCTGATTTTCCACCAGCCCTCCAAGTTCTTCTGGATCACCACCACCACAGCCCCTTTGTCCAGGTTCATTTCATCCTGGTCTCTTGCGATATACGGGTAAATAACTGTGTACTTCTCCTCTGTTGGAAAGAAAGTGCAGTTTCACAGATACATAGTTTTATGGAAATCTGGGCTCATTCAAATAATGGTTAAGTGCTTTATATAGACAGTAATTCTTGTTGTGATGTGGGTGCAAACATACAGAAATACAAGACCATTTGAAGAGAAATGCCAGTGAGGTGTATTTCAAAACAAGCTTATATTTCAAAAATGTGTTTCGGTTTTGGTGAACTAGTTTGGCCCAAAGAAAAACTGTATAAAGCAGTTCCCTCCTCTCCTTTAAGGCTGTCTCTCATATCTAAAGCCCCCAAAGGTACATGGCCATTTGCAGCCTTGAATCCATTCCTACAGCCCTGTACTGCACAAGCAGGTCTGGGCTCCTTTCAAAAGCTCTTACGCAGAATCACAAAATGGTTGAGGTTGGAAGGGACCTTTAGAGATCATCTACTCCAACCCCCCTGCTCAAGCGGGGACACCTAGAGTACGTGGCACAGGGTCGCAGCCACGCGGGTTTTGAAAACCTCCACATCACTCTTTACCCTCACCCTACTCCCACTGAGTAGATATTCAGGGGAATACATGGCAAGATCACTTATAGTTTGACTTTGTGTGCCTTCTACATATCAAAATACTGTTTAAGACAAATGTTACAAAAACCTAAAACAATTCAAACATAACGAAAACAAGAAAAATAAAACAGCAATACTTTGGAGTGCGCCTACACGCTTTGTTTCCTTTCTGAGATAAACTGATGACATTCCATAAATTGATGGAATGAGAGAGCTGAATCAAGAAAAATACACCAAAAGGCAGTGGGAGGAGGACAAGAGGGAATAAACAGGGAGGTGAAGGCATCAGGGTGGGACACTGCTTGCAGGGAAAACCATGTTTAGATAGACCCTGAGGACAGATAACTGGATAGTATTGACGGAAAAAGCCTGGCTACAAAGTAGTGACAACAACAGTCCTCAAATACTGCAGAAGTCCAAAAAAAGGAACATGTTTTCCTTCCGGTTGCATAATAATGCTACCTCCTTTCAATAACAACCAACAAAAATACTGAAAAAGTTTTGGAGGAATGTAAAGCAAATTAAGGGCATTTCTTGGTAATCTCTAAGACTTTCAAAAATCTATGAGATTCTGATAATTTTATCACTCCTAAAGTGCTCTTTTAACCTCCCTGAACGCTCAGGTCTACTCCTCCTGTCTATCCTCAGGCTTACTCCCGCTGTTTACCCTCAGGCCTATTCCCGCTGTTTAAACTCAGGCTCACTCCAGTTGTGTACTCTCAGGCCTACAGTATTGACGGAAAAAGCCTGGCTACAAAGTAGTGACAACAACAGTCCTCAAATACTGCAGAAGTCCAAAAAAAGGAACATGTTTTCCTTCCGGTTGCATAATAATGCTACCTCCTTTCAATAACAACCAACAAAAATACTGAAAAAGTTTTGGAGGAATGTAAAGCAAATTAAGGGCATTTCTTGGTAATCTCTAAGACTTTCAAAAATCTATGAGATTCTGATAATTTTATCACTCCTAAAGTGCTCTTTTAACCTCCCTGAACGCTCAGGCCTACTCCTCCTGTCTATCCTCAGGCCTACTCCGGTTGTTTACTCTCAGGCCTACACCCCTTGTTTACCCTCATACCTACTCCCCCTGCTGACCTTTAGGCCTCCTCCCCCCCTTCCTTAATGGTCCTTACACTAGTTCTCTACAGGAACTAACGCAGCAGTTGCAAGTAGTCTGTATGCATATATGTTCGGAAAGCTGAAATTCCAGCCCCTGTACTCAAAAACAATAGGTGTCAAAGAGTGAGAAGGAGCTACCAATAGAGGAAAGAGATGGACATGAGTGGATCTGATGGAAAGCTGAAGAGCGTGTGTGGCACAAGTGATAAGGAGAGTCCATCACATGCAAAGCAAACAGACATGCAGACAATACGGCTGCAAGCACAGAACAGGAGCAGCTGAACAAGTCTCCACACAGTCCACCTTGACCCCATCCACTGGTGTATAAGTCCCCAAGAGTCCGACGGCGGCCCACATGCCTGGGTAGAGACCAGTATCTCCATGGGACTGGGAAGAGCTTTTTGATAAAAGAGGACATAAGAAGGCAGCACTTCAGATCTGAGAGACAACAGGCCTGACACCAGAGAGGGCACAGAGAGAGTACTCACCTGGCCCCCCTTCCCATGTTGAATCCCTCCCTCCCATCTCCATCTCCACAGACCCAGGGCCTGAGCTAACTAGAGCACTGTTTTGAGCACACAGCGGCCAAGGGGAAAATGTGTTCTCCAGGGCTGTTCTGGATTTACTTTAAGCAAAGTTTGCAATCTGGTTATTCTCACTATGGGAGTCTAAGCATGCTCTTTGGAAGTGGCACATGCATCTCCTCTGGGGAACAGAAAGGCCAGCAGTTAAACAAGTCACCTTCCAGCTGGCCTGCTCCTGGTGCAACACTCGAGCAGAGTACTGGGGACTCATTGGCAGGACAATAGTGGGCATATTTTACTAAACAACCCAACCTCACAGCGCTTGGCGGTTTGCCCTTCCCAGATCTCGGTCCCTGTAAGGTTAAAAAGGACCAAACATCCTGCAAGAGGCTCACTGCACATAAAGAGGCTGGAACAATTTTCTCCAGCTGCCTCTTACCTTCATCAGGCTGCATAGAGAATTCGTCCTGGACACCATC